GTTTTACCTTATTTTATTACGTTGTTGTGACTCAATTGCGTAGAACGTCAGGTCAAGTTTGGTGGGGTGGGCCACTTACTGGGGTGGGCCGCTTACTGGTGGAACACGTTAATAGACATAATATTACCTAATAAGTAGTGTTGATGTAAATGCGCATATATTATAGCTAGAATGGGTACGGACTGCTATTTCGAAACTTGTTAGAATTTAGAATTGCAAATTCTCTTAGCATGCACACAAGCTTATGCCAGCGCCAACTTACCAAAATATAGCCTACTATACCCCCTTGCTCAAAGTACGTCCGTTGTGGCGTTGCATCTAACCGTAATCAGGGACAAGGTCTCATGAGGGAATGCCTACATTTTCGGGCTCAGCCTCGATTCCACTAGTGCGGAAAACGCCTCATCGGCACCAGAATGGACCCTCCACACTGTTTCACTCCTAACAAAAGGCATGTACACTAGTTCTATGATTAGTTTGGCTCGCTTCGTGCCGAACCTTCGCTAGTCAGCTACTGCATGCAGCCTTTTGGGATTTCTAGGCCTTACTCCGTTCCGTTTGGACTAGTATATCATTGACTCGGTTCCTGGCTGCTGGCGAGGATGAATCCCGTTTTCTAGCTTATCCTGGTGCCTCTATTGCGTCTCTCGCCTCCTGCATAAAACGACTCTTATTTCTTCGGCACATAATCAATCAGTCGTGCACTTTTACCTCTACTATCACATCGATCCAGAACTATGAGTCCCGAGCATTCCGAGCTTGTTCACGACCCCTCGTACAACATGACATCGGAGCCGCAGCTACGAAATCCATACGCTAGATTACCCTCTAGAAGAGCGATTGCTTGCGTGACGTGTGCCAAAGCTAAGACAAAGTGTAACAAGGCAGTATGTGTTTCCTGGAAGGGCATGGTTTCTCGCAAAGCTCACTCCCAAGGTACCTTCATGTTCGCGCTGCATCACCAAAGGCATCACCTGTGAACCCCGATCGACTCGCCGCACCTCTGTAAACATGCATCGATCAAACAATCGGAAAAAATCACATTCACTAGTAAAGAGTCACTCTCTGGGTGCTCTCTCACTCGTTGATATGCCAGATTCGCCTCAACACTTGCCACCTTTGGGCAACAGTCGACATGTGCGACACATGTCATGCAATTCCCAAAGTGCCCTAGAAACGGATGAACAAACTCTATCACTCCCTGTACATGCCGAACCTGCTCCCCTACTGATGGAAATACCATATATGGTTGAAGAGAGTCAGTTGTCCATGGCACTTTCCGAACAAATCATGGGTGGCTCGGATCAGACAATGTGGACGAGCAACATTTCGAGTCTAGGTGGCCTCTCGCCGCCCACGCCTGAACCTATGGTATTCCACGAGCCTACAACTATGATTCACTCCGCAGACCACGTTTCATGCCCGCAGACATGGTACGAAGAGATATCGGCGTCGATTGAGCACGGATTCGGCTCGTATCTCAGTGACACAACACCATCACAAATTTTGGCTATGCGAGACGACGCAAGTACGTCACATTTTACGCCATCAGCATCGTGGCCAGATTCTGGCTATTTGCTATTACATCAGCAGACGTTGGCGGAGCCGACATCTTATTACAACAACATTGGTTGCTATTCCGGTAGTCAGCTGTCATCGCAAGACTGGTTGCCCTATTCCATGCCAAATTGGATGTTTGAGCCTACGATTCCCGAATTAACCACCGTTCTATCAGCACAATTCAATACGATCCTGCAATCTGGGCTGGGAGGTGGCATGGTGTGTGAAGAGTCACCATACTCTCATCTTTGAAAATAGCAACGGCAGTCACGTAACGATGCTACGACGTAGCGTTCAAGCCACTGGTCAGCGTCAAGGACCCTGGAAACTGCAGTATACCGTTTTTGCCTCGACACATTCTATACGTATATTTAGAACTATTCGCACTATCAACCAGTACCCTGCTCGTTCAGAAAGACACTACACTCAAACCATTTCGCTTGGACTATCTCCTATCCATCTTAGGCTTTACGATATGTAAAATACAACAAGGTAGTCGAAAATGTACGAGATTTCCATGTACAAGGCTGGATGATGGAGTCCAACAACACAAGCAAATTTACATTACTGCTGTCAATGTTTCCAATCAAGTCATCGAGTACTGAACATGGTCCGCCGAGCCTCTGAGCCATCTCTTCATCATGTCCGTTGAGTGTTCCTTCAGCGCGCTAATGCGAAGAAATCATGTGATAGCATCCATCGATGGTGTTGCAGTTGCTAGTGCTATCTGCTCCTATCCCTATCTTGCGTAGTGTTTGCACCCAGGTCGCGTAACCGAGATGACCCGACTTTCAGCGCCCCACATCGTAATCGCCTATTATTGCTGCCAGTGCGGTTCAAATGGCTAAATAGAAGAGCACCTCATTGGTTGGCCACGCGCAGTTATGGACTTGAAATGCTGGTCATGTCAAGGGATTAGATCGATGCTGATCGCAGTATTCCTTAGACCAATGCCGGTGTTGTATCTTCTGTTTTCTATTAGACGAATACTGATTGAAGTAGTAAGCATCAGCCTTTGTCGACTGTCCGTACACCCACGCCATTATTGGGTTTTCCGAGGTCTAAAAAAGCTCAATTTTGAGAATCAGGGCTTGTCACCGTAATGGCGCCACATCTGTCGCCTCGGGGCTAGCAAATACGAAGCGAATCCAAGCAGATTCTCTGTCATCAAGGCAAGCAGCTTTTGTAAGGAGTGGGCTGTGTTGGCCTTGCAATGTGAAAATGGGAGGCCTATGCTGCCTAATCTCGAAACTTCAGCATACTCTCAGCCTTTTCAACCGCACTATTTGCTCGCCTTGAGGAGCTCCTGCTTGACAAAATCTATTATTTCCCAACGGGCCTCTCATGTGTTGGGACGAGAATGGGGAGCTCGAAAGGATCAGCATCAACGTCATACCGATCTTCAAAGCTTTGCACCTATCCAGCCTTACGCCGATAAACACCCTTTATCAGATACTAGACAATGACGGTCCGTTCCATTGCTTACGCACTGGACGAACCTTGTACGCGGGCCCTGAATGTAGCCTATCACCTAACGACTCTGACGCCATGGCGCCTGAAAGGATGGTGCACGGGTCGTAGGTGAGTAACGCTTATGCTCGGCCAAGCCGCTCGAATGAGGAAAGTTAGGGCAAGGGTAAGTAGTGCCGTACGTTACCTATCTTTAGCGATCTACACTGGCGCGAGCGTACTACTACTAGGGGTCTGCAACATGTTGGCCAAATCCTCGGCCTCGCCATATCTCAGCTCTGCCGTGCTGGCGCCATAGCGCCTGGCTGCGTGGTTGGGGTTGCACAAGATGTCATGTGGTGGCGTGTGCTGCTTATCGATAGATAGTAGTACGTACGTAGTAGTACTGGACTTGTCTGCCGCAGGTACTGTAAGCCCGCATTGTCGTGTCATGCACACGCGCAGCTGTTGCTGCCTCCATGCAGGAACGGTGAGCTCTGTACGGCATGGCGGCACAGCATGCGCACTGCCCCCACATGCGTCCATTAGAGGGGAAGAGAGCACCGAGGCCTGTATGTAGTCGAGAGCTTACCAGACTGCTGGGACCAACATCCACGTGCCTGGTAGTAGTCGACTGTACTCGAGCGAATCCGGCTCAACTATCCGCTCCTCCGACCACCATGTGCCGCGTTTCGGGGCCAAACACTACCGGAGTGCATGTCAATTATATTGAATGCTCGCTAACTTTTCCTCTTATCGAGCTGATTCCCCAGTCGTTCGACTTGGCATCCTTCCCGCAACGTCCAACCCCATCAACATTGACAGTACCAAACGATTGGATCTATTCAATAGTTCTTCGGTCTCTTGGTATCTAGCAGTTCCGAGGCTACAGCACGGAAAGTACATTCGCGGCTAGTGCGATCTGCCTTGCCCTGCGATGCTTTGTCTTTCTCGTGTCCGCCTTTTGTCCGCCTCTTGATTAGAAGCAGAATGATCGCAAAGTCTTTACCGGCTGACAATCGATACAAGCATGCATGAGAAAAAAGAAAACTAGAGACTGTTGATCCATTTACAGAGACGATCAGGAAAACAGCCTTCGACTCCACCGAAGCCCGCTACGACACGGATCCAATCCTGAGCGAATGTGTCAGTAACGGTGTAGGTACATGCAGTGTAGGACCTGAGCTCAGTAGGATCCAAGAGATGCCCAAACGCCATCGGCCCGTCCCACAACATGGTCAAGCGAGAGCTAGACCGATTGATAGGTCTGGATGACTCTAGATGGACATTTTGAACTAGTCTTTACGGCGGAGACTCGTCCACAACATCACCACGCGACTGAACACCTGACATGAAACAGAAAGGAAATTGCCCGAGTTCGCCGAACAACATCTGTCGAGACCCTGGCTAGTGGCTGCTGATGAAAACCAGGGTACAAGGTAACTCTTCATGGACAATGGTTGTCTCCACTGCCAAGAAAGGAAGCCACAGTGCGAACTCCACGGACAGTATGACGGGACGGTTCTGGGCTATCGAGCCCCTGGAATCATGAGACGGGTCGTCATAGGCATTCTTACTGGCCGCCGTGTGGCGCGGGGGAGGCATCCTTCAACACTTGCCACTTGGTTTCTCTACACCATTTCGTCCACATCGACCATGTCGATCCGTGCCATTCCGTCCCGACCCTTCGTTCCCGTCCGCTAGCGCTCCTCTTCGCTCAGTCCTTGGACTCTGGTCTGATTTGAAAGGCCCAGACTCTGACCTTGGCAGATGCCCCGTGGGATGGGATCAACACCAACCCATTGAATACGAGGTTTGTGGACTCATCAGAGTCGCCGACACCGCGTTTATCGCATCCTGAGAGCTGGACTTCATCTTCATTTCCCATCTTACGTTGCCACGTGCCAAACGGACATGTAATTTAACCGGTCGTGGGGCACTCCGAGGAGAGCTGTGGAGGGCTTGCTGCCGTCGTGTGGCGGCTCATGTACGCGTGGAGATGGCTTGATGGTGACGCGTGGAAATGAAGAGGATTTTGTAGGATCGACATGGCTACTCGGGTCCTCTGTGACGACTGGCAAATCCGGTTGTCATATGACTTTTGTCGATTTGGGAGCATGGCAGAAGTTTTCAAGGTCAGTGTGTCATCGATGGGAATCTTGGTAAAATCCGATTGAGCATGCCCACGCTCTGAGCAAAGTGATCACAGTGATAGGTATCTTTGTAATTCGCCATTCTTTGACTATTTCGGAGACTATCTTTGATCGTGCGGACAACAATTGAGGACATGTAGCTTCTCTCTAGTCTCTATCTACTCAGATGGCACCTAGCACGTATTCTTTCAAGATGTGGCTGCAACAAAGGTTCTTCAGTCGCAGATACTGGAAATAAAGTGTGCAGATTATCAACTTCCTGTCTCAACTGGGCATCTGTCACCTCTTCTAAAGGAGCCACGTATTTGCAGTCTCTCCGCCGGGCAATGACAATGTCAGCATGCTTGTCCTGTGAGTCCGAAGTCAACATAAGTGAAGAGAAAAATTGACCGTCGATTCGCGGTGCTGCAGCCAGACTCGCAGCCTTTCCTGCTTGAACGCTTACCTGGGAGATGATGGAAAAGAAATAACATACCTCTATAATATCTTCACACACGCTTACATACTCCTCCGCTTCACGAAAGCTATATCCCACAAGCACCGCGATCCTCCTCTTCGTCTTACTCCCCGACTTCTCTACAAACACCAACCGTCCATGTTCAAAATCCGACTTGACATGCCATCTGCGCGACACATATAGCGGCTTGAAGGTGACCAGCATGCCATGCAGTAGCGTCAGTGAAAGAAAAGGCTGCGCTCCATCGTGCACGATACAGATTTTGTTGAGACGCGACAAGTCTTTTTCCCACAACAAACGCCACAGCATGTGTACTACAAGTTCTCTGCCCGCGCCACCGCTACCCCTACCATCGCCGTTCCCAGGAGAATCTGGGCTCTGAAACCGGAAATACAGCTCTTCTAGGTTTGGTAGTCCCGCGGCAGCAAAGTGGAACCCTTTTACGCGTCGACGCGATGTTGCCGACAAATCGCAGACATACAGTTCTCCGAGGCATGCTGGTAGGAGAATTTGCAGCTTGGTGATTTGCGCTGCGCAAGTAGTCGTGAGCAGGGTTTGTGATTTTTCTGCTAGGTGCTGGGCGCTCAACCATTTGAGCGGGTAAATGGCGCTGTGTGAGCGCGCGAGAGAGGCGTACTCGGCGTATAGCTGGCGACAGGTCCATGCGAGTGCCACGGCACTTTTGGAGAGGCTCGAGGCTGGTATACTGCCCGGCGCGCGATGGAAGGCATAGGATACAATTTGGTTTCTGATTTCCCCTGGCAAGGCGAGGAAAGGTGGTGTTTGTGTCATCAAGGCTCTCTAGACTATTCAACCCTCTTTCTCCCAGTGCTTGTAGCGATGATGTAGCTCTTCAATATCGCGTAGATTCAATAGAAGCAGTTTATTAATTTATCTTCAGACTTGATGGATTCAGAGCGGCTGGTCGTGATGATGGTGAGAATCGCGCATTGAGGAACGAGAGTGCTTCGCATGGGAAGTCGTGTACTAACTTAGTGGCGACCCCACCATGTCCTCTAACGCCCCCCTTCCTTGTAACCAATTGCTTAACTCTCATGGTTCCATTCGTTGGAGGTGCTAGATATTATGTCATTCTTCTGGAATAGACTCTTGTTTTTATATCTGTTAAGCGTATGGCATATCATTTTTGGTTTATCTCAAAAAAGAATAGTAGACCACACGCTAACCAGCCGGAATCGGTTATCAAACAAATGACTCCGCTGTCAGAGTAAATGTTGATTTAGGAACATAGATATGGCAGTGTATTTGATTCAATGCGCTACGTGGCGTCATCTTGCTTTTGAGAAATTTTATCATCAGGCTCGAATACGGTATATACAGGCGCATTGATAATTTACAATAGTTATAAAATTGGATTAACGTATCTGTATAGCGAGTGGCTCAGTATAGCGAGTGGCTCACGGTGCCAAGACCCCATCAACTTCCCCCATTACATGACTCTTGCACGCGATGTCTCAACAACCAAGTGATACTCTAGCTGTTAAAGAAGCCCGATTACAACTTGCACT